CGGAGATAAAGTCATTAGCTGAGATTATAGGGGAAGGAGATGATGATCGTAGGAGAGAGTTTGAGGAGAAAGGGAGAATTTTGAGAAGGCCATTGGGGGAAATGAGAGGGCTAACGGAACAGAATTACTTAGAAAAATTGTACTGACATATTTTTCATGGCTCTGGTGTATGTAGTTGTGTGAGTAATCTTCCCCCCCATCTCAGGGCTCAGCAACCTGAGCGTGTGAGCAGACAAGTTGAACAAGTGGATTGATCTTGGTCTGGGTTTAACGGGCCAGTGTGGCAGAAAGGGAGGCAAGAGAGTCTAGCAGTGACGGTGTTTGAAGTGATGGGCTATTGAGTCGAAGCTCAATGGGGACCAACTGAAACCAGAAAGTGGCAGCTGGGATATGAAGTGGTTGAGACTGGATATTGGAATTTAAGATTAAGTTAAATTGAAGCTTAACTAAGAGGAGCAGTTGCTGGTTATGACTGAATGCAAGAGCTGGCCATGGAATGGGTTTCTGAAGCAGAGAAAGTGAAGGTTATTGGGTTGAGCAGATAAGGAAAGTGTAAAGCTAGGGTGTTACAGGAGTCAGCTTCACAGAAAGTGAATTGCTCAGAATGGTTCTAGAGCAAGGGGTGGGAAGATTCTGAACTAGGTTCCAAAGTCTTTGGCGAATGTGGGAGAGTGGCCAAGAGGTCAGTCGATGACAGAAACAAGGAGAGAGAGGTAGGAACAGGATAGACACCTCAAAAGAGGTACTTTGACATGAGGGTGAAGAACCTCGATGATGAACAAGGAATGACTTCTATGCTGTAGATTTGCTGAGGGGAGAAAGAACAGCTGCACTCAGATTTTAGTTTAGACAAGAAGACTGCTGGAATGGTGCTCAAATTGGTTCAAGGTTTCGGGTATTTGTTTACAGTGGAACAGTGTAAAGGGTTATCAGGAAGTATAGCTATTGGAGGATGTGTGATTGTCAAGGAGGCGGAGAGTACATAGCAGAAATGAGATCAGAGTGCAGCGACAAAGGGGAATTACTTGGAGGGGCTGACGTTTTGGATGATTGTGGTAATGATGAAAAACATGGTGGTCTTAGCTGATTTCCAAATTTTTATTAATTTTATGGGAAGACATATTTATGCTGACAGACTGAGATACTGGGTTATGCACAGAGCTAGATGATTTCATTGTTTTCAGTTCTACTTAGCAATGTTTAGCAATCTGTGGCCTTTGCTCAGCATGTCTTAAAGAACCCTAGCATGGGGCTGTTTTCCTCTTTGGCAAGGCTTAGCCCTGGTGAGGAGGACGGCAGAGTGAAAGCAATTGGTGCTCACCTGATCTTTTGACCTTGACAAACTTGTGTCTAAGGGGTGGGTAGGTGGGTAGGGATAATCTTGAGTCCAAATTGGGGTGAGAAATCATAAGTCTTCAGGCCTTTTAAAAGCCCGATGCCAGCTTGAGGGGGAATGTAAAAAGTTCTGAGTCCCAAAAGGAGAGAATAGCAATAAGAATGATTCATGATCTCCTTGATGACTTAAAAATTTAATACTATTGCAGCAATATTTAAATCATATCTAAGTTAAAAATTATAACCCCAAATGCTACATATTAATGTCTGTTTTTAGAATTAGAAAAATGTGTCAATTTATAAAGTCTCAAGACCATACTCTTGAAGTTTTACTTCTCCCAAAATGCCTTTCTTTTTCTTTTTTAAATGTGTTTCTTTTTTTTATTATTATGTTCAGTTTGCCACTGTATAGTACATAATTAGTCCTTGATGCAGTGTTCAACAATTCATTAGTTAAGTATAACACCCAGTGCTCATCACAGCACGTGCCCTCATTATTCAGCCATCAGAAACGATGAATACCCAAAATGTCTTAAAGCCAAAGGTTCTACTACATTGATCTTTGGCATATTTAAAATATGCTTTCAGACTTCCTCGGGTTAAGGAATTCTTAGAATCATGATGCATGGCATTTTTACAGAGCCCTAAGAATATTGGTATTTGCTCTTGAACACTTATCTTGATAAGCACTGAGTAATGTATAGGTAGAATTGTTGAATCATTATATTGCACACCTGAAACCAGTATAATACTGTATGTTAATTATACTTCAATTTAAAAAAGGATAAAATAAAATAAATTAAAAAAAGAAATATTGGTGTGTATGATTTCACTATGCAAACTGGGAACAATTCTGCTAGCAGAAAACATTACTTCCTTAGATATATAACCATCTCTGCCTATCACAAAATAACAGATAATGTTCGAAAGAAATCATGTCATAGTATTTTCAATCTTTTTTTTTTAAGATTTATTTATTTGAGAGAAGAGGAGAGAGAGCAGAGTGAGAGAGGGAGAACACGAGTGGTGGGGAGGGGCAGAGGAACAGGGGGGAGCAGGCTCCCCGCTGAGCAGGGAACCCGAGATGTACGACTCAATCCCAGGACCCTGAGATCATGACCTAAGCTTTTCAATCTTTTTAACCACTAGGCCAGTCCACCTCACATCATTTTTTTTGTTATCTATTAGAACTTTAACTCAAAGGCTAGATGGTGGCAAGTAAGAGTTAATGAAAATTTTGGAGAAAAAATATGACCTTTTATTTTTTTGAGTTTTTAAGAAATATTTTAACAGAAAGACCTATTCAGTAAAGAAAACTTGGAAAATACAGGAAAGGAGGAAGAAGGGTCACCTGTGGCTCAAATCAACCACAGTAGATGTTTTGATGTGTTTTTTTTTAAATTTAGTTTTTTCTCTTATATTTTGATTGTTTTGTTGGTTTGTTTTGGTTTGTTTGGTAACTATGCTATACTGTGAACCTATATTTGTAATCTGCTTTTTTACATAGCATTATTCATAATCTTTATAACATCATTTGTGATGACTGCATAATACAACAAATGTATTTAATCCTTCCCCTAAAATTAGACTTTTTGAGTACAGTTGACCCTTGAACAATACAAGTTTGAGCTGCACAGGTCAACTTACATGCGGGTTTTTTTCCAATAAATACAATATAGTACTGTAAATGTATTTTCTCATTTTTAGGATTTTCTTAACATTTTCTTTTCTCTAGCCTACTTTATTATAAGAATATAGTATATAATATGTATACAAAGTAAGTTTTAATCAACTATGTTATTGGCTCAACAGTAGGCTATCAGTTAAGCCTTTGGGGAGTTAAAATTATATTTTTGACCGTGTGGGAGTCAATGCCCCTAACGCCCACTTTGTTCAGGCGTCAACTGTATTTCTAATTTTCTATTAAACCATGTTGCAATATATGTATTTGCATAAAATTCTATCATGTATTCTTTATTTATTTCCACAGTATAGATTCTGGAAATGGATTTGTTTGATCAAAGGCTATAAGCATTTCTGAAGATCCTAACACATATTGCTTAGAAAAATTCTTTTTTTTTTAAAGTAAAAATTCAGTTTATTCATCTGTTTATGACACAGTACACAAGAGGCAAAGTGTTTCACATCATAGATTTCACTTCCAACTCCTTGGAATGTTCATTTCTTTGGCTAAAAGGAGAGACTAGATAGACATGAGAGGCAGGCAATGCTTAGGCAACTGACATAAGGATGGGGAGGGTGATGCTAATGCTATCCTCATGGGGACAGGCACAAGGGGTCTGTTAGTCACAAGCTATTTTCTAGAACTGTTAGCTGGAAACAAAGGAGCACCACTGCTGGGTGCTCATCCATCATGGGCCTCGGTCATCCCCACCACACAGGTACCAGCAGCGCTTTGTGGTAGTCACCCTTCGTGTCTTGCTGGATGTAGTAGTACAGGGACTTGCTGTACTTCCTCTTGAATTCAGACCTAATTTTCAACATGTCCACTTCACTGCGAGAGACCGTGATTCTAATCAGGACTTTATCACGAGTCCCCTTGCCCTTCATGGAGTCGTACAGCCGGTCAGCAAAATACAGGGGCTTTTTCTGAGTGCACTGGACCAGGTTCAGGAAAGCATTTTCCAGGTCTCCTTTGACCTCCTTCTTGATGCTCTCCAGCATGTCATAAGGGCTGTAGCTCTTGTACCTTTCAAATACTTTCTGGAGGTGACACACACTCCACTCAGTCATGATGCTGATCCACTTGGGCACATCAGTTCCTCTCCTCTTCACTCCAGCATCATAGAGATCCCGGGCATCTTGGTCAATCAGTTCATAATCAATGACAGAGCCATCCTCTGCTCTTCTACCCTTTGCAAGGGCAACCATCAGCTTGCGGAAGTCACCAGATGTGTCAGAAATGATGTCCTTCTCCAGATCAGTCTTGTACATTTCTTTGTAGACTCTGTTAATTTCCTGAAGCTCTTGGTTGGTCCTTGAGCAGATGATCTCAATGAGGGAGTCCTCGTCAGTCCCCAGCCCCTTCATGGAGGCTTTCAGGTCAGAAGCATCATACTGAGCAGGTGTTTTCAAAAGGCCCAAAATCACGGTCTCCAGGTGGCCGGACAAGGCTGACTTGAGTGCTGATACAAGTTCCTTTTTGGTCCTTCTCTGGTAGGCGAAGGCAATATCCTGTCTCTGTTCATTGCTGCAGTTGGTCAAAATGTTGACAATGGTGACCTTATCCACACCTTTGGTCTTGATGGCCGTTTCAATATTCAGAGCATCATGCTCAGCATCAAAATTGGTGTATGCTTGGGGCGCTGGGTGGCTCAGTTGGTTAAGCGACTGCCTTCGGCTCAGGTCGTGATCTTGGAGTCCCGGGATCGAGTCCCGCATCGGGCTCCCTGCTCAGCAGGGAGTCTGCTTCTCCTTCGGACCCTCCTCCCTCTCATGCTCTCTGTCTCTCATTCTCTCTCTCTCAAATAAATAAATAAAATCTTTAAAAAAAAAAAATTGGTGTATGCTTTGACCGACCCGTATGCACTTGGGGGCGTGGAGTGATCACCCTCCAAGCTGAGCTTGCAGAGAATTTCGTGAACAGTAGACATTTTGAAGGAAGCTGGGCCTGGCGCCGAGAGCTGCGAGCGTCCCCAGTTGTAGAGCCGCTTAGAAAAATTCTTAATGATAGGGTAACATAATTGGCGCTTCCAGCAATGACTGTAAATTTTGCAACTGGGCACAATAAACACCAAATGCAAAAAACACAATCTGAATATCTTCAAATCTATACAGGGGATATGAGACTTAAAGAGATGGCCGTATCTTGATAATGGAAAACTTTTTTTTTTTTCTTATTCAGATGCCTCTAGGCTGGATGATGACTGACTAGGTAACACACAGAATTTTGGATAATTGAATGACTGATCTGATGAGGCAGATGATGGCTTGAAGCCAGTGTGAGTTATGGAATAGAAAACAAAATGGTATTTCATTTCAGTATATGTACAAGTTCTGGGCACTGAATCCATGTAAGGAGATGTTACTGCTTTATTATTAAGGATACAACTCAGGAGCAGCCAAATGGAAGAGCCATGTAGGACAGGGTATGGGGGAAGGAGCACTTCCACGCCCACTCTGGACGTGTTACCCTTCCAGCACCTTGATGTGTTCAGCAACTGGGAAGCACTAACCTTGTTTTCTTTTTTTTTTTTTAACAGATTTTATTTTAGAATTCTCTATTATTTCTCAGAGTATGTTTTTTTTGTGTGTGTGTTTTGGTTTTTGTTTTAAAGACATTAACCAGTCTTTTGATGGTCTTTGAAAAAGTGGGTTCCACAGGATAATTTTGAGAAGAAGCTGCATACCATATCCCTTTCCCACTTGGTGATTAACCATAAACATCAACTTTCATCAGCTTAATAAAGGCTCAGGGAAATAATATTACCACTAACAATTTAACATTAGTACTTAGTATTTTGAGGCTCTGTTCTAGCAATCCCACATATATTACAAGTCTGTCTTCTGCAATTACCTCCTTTTGTTTACAGATGAGAAAATTGAGGTCCACATTGGTAAAATAACATGCCCAAAGTTACTAACATGGCTTAGCAGGTAGAAGAGCCAGGACTCCATCTCAGATAAACTGGCTCCGGAGGATTTTCAAGCACTACATTGTACTATTTGTAACTGGAAAGAAGACTGGTTTAGTGTTTAGTGCAACATTTCTCAAGCTTGTTTAACAATGGAAGCTCATTGTCTTTCAATATTTTATAGGGATTAGTTTTCCATGGAGTTAACTGGGAAGTGTTGTCTTGAGCCAGCCTGCGCTGGTGCAGTCTCTTAAACACCATTATTTTGGAATAGAACTTTTTTTTTTTTTTAAACTTGGTTCTCTGTTCCTAATATTAAGTGTTATATTTATTTATTTATTTGTTATTTTTAAATGTTATTGAAAGACTAATACTTTGACTTCAAGGCATTTTATATTGTCTTTTACAATGACCTTCCTAGGAATTTTTAAAAGGTCAACATCATTCTACACTACTTTCGAGGTACTAAAACAGTTTATAATCCAAATCACTATTTTACTGTGCTTTCTGTACAAGATAAGAAACTGACAGCTTTTTAGTGCTATGGAACATGATGGTAACTGACCTCTTTCTTGAGTTTCAACCTTGGTTCTGCCTCTTTACAGGCTATATGGCCTTAGAAAAGTCACTTCATTTCTCAAAACTTCTTTCCTCTAAAAGACAAGGTTAATATCTTACAGGGTGGCTGTGAGAATCGAATGAGAAAATTTCATGTAATGTCTGGCACATAGAAAGCTCACGACAAATGGTAATTGCTCTCAACTCTATACCATGAATGAATTGCAAAAATAGTTGGAAAAGAAAGGTCAATTTTAATTTGAACTGCCTCTGTTACGCTGACATCAGCTACATTTCTGATAAAGTGATGTTGTCCTGATACAGGTTGATGGGAGTTAAAACCAGTTTCCTTCCGGCTTTCCAACTGACATAATAAGCAAAACCTGACTGGGCAAACATAGACCTATTTATTAGATCACTTATTATTAATGTTAAACTAGCTCTGGTGCTGACTTATCCTGTTCTTTTTGAAATTTCATTGTTGTCATTTAAAATCTGCCAGACCTTCAGAAGCTTCACAGAATGCTAAAGGGTTTAATCCATCCTCCAGAACATGCGAAGTTTATTTTCCAAAGTGGTCCTCTACATCCAGCAGTATGTTCAAAATCATGCACGTAGGACAGAATTCGCTTCCATTTTTACATTTGCTGGAGGTTTGTTCAATCTTCCTGGCAGTCAACTTTGGAGTTTAGGGGGCAGTACTTAACACATCTAACCAAAGCATGAGTAATTACTGAAAACAAAACTATTAAAGGAAAAATCTATTGAGATTTTGCAATTTCCAATGACTTACTCCTTAAGCAAAAAGAAAATGGGTTTGTTTTGAGCTGTATGTGGGGGGATCTCTAGTATTCTATCCTAAGTGCTTCTTCTAGCCCTGATATCTAGTAAGCACTCAGTAAATACTTCTTGATGGACTGAATTTGATTTCTAATCCCAATTTTGTGCCTTGCGACTTCTGTAAACTTGGACCTTCTTGAACCTTCTAAGCTTCAGTTTCATCTTATGTAAAAAATGAGGTACCAATATTTGTGTCCCAGGATTGTTGTTAACAATGAAGTGTTCATGCATTTAAAATAGCCAGCCCAGGGATGCCTGGTGGCTCAGTTAAGTATCTGCCTTCGGTTCAGGTCATGATCCCAGGGTGCTGGGATCGAGTCCCGCATTGGGTTCCTTGCTCAGCGGGAACCTGCTTCTCTTTCTGCCTGCCGCTCCCAGTTTGTGCTCTCTCTGACAAATAAATAAGTAAATAAAATCTTAAAAAAAAATAGCTGGCACAGCACGTGGCACCATAGTGGGCACTCAGTGCATTGCACGTTCTCCCAGACACTTCACTTTGTTCTTCAATAATATTCTCTTCAAGCACATTTCAAGCACTTTCTCATTCTCTAAACACTTTGAAGCCATGTTCAAGAGAGAATATGAGTGTTTGCCAATTAAACTGAAAATACATTCCTTTGTAGCCAAAACTTGGAATGTTTCAGCAAAACCGAGTGTATCCCTGACAGACCTTGGTTTGAATTCTGGCTTTACAACTGAGTATGTTATGACCTTAGGTAAGTTACTTAACCTGTCTGTAAAGTATCGTGAGGTTGAAATGAGTAATAATATGTATAAACATCTGGTTCCAGTGCCTGGTTTGCACAGGCGCAGAAGAGATTTATTATCTTAAGTTGAGACTTTGATTTAATCTGATAATTTATGTAATTAATTCATGTATATTGAGGGCCTACTGTACTCAAACCCTGTTAAGAGCAGCCAGGAAGATTGTGAATGAACATTGGGCATATGGTTATGTAGGTGACCGAAGTTGGCCTCACCTAGAATCAGGTTCAGCAGAAGTGGCGTTTTTTTTAGATTGTATTTATTTATTTAGAGAGAGAAAGCATGAGCACACGTGAGCAGGGGGAGGGACAGAGGGAGAGGGAGAGAGGCAATCCCAAGCAGATTGCACTGAGTGCAGAGCCTGATGGGGGGCTTGATCTTAAGACCCTGAGACCATGACCTGAGCGGAAACCAGGAGTCAGGTGCTTAACAGACTGAGCCACCCAGGCTCCCCCAGAAGTGGCATTTTCTATTGTATCTGAAGTAAAATAAATTAACGGGCTGCTATTGCATTTGACATGGCATTTTTTAAATGTTGCGTTTATAGTAAAATTAAAAAAAAATGTCAAGAGATAAGTTCATGAGTGCTAAAGCAAACCAGGTAAATTTTGCTATTTAAAAAGTTTTTTATCTTTTGCTGATCTTGTTCATCACAAATAAACACGTTCCTCTCCTATACTAAAATTTAACACAGGATATTGGTAAGACAAATTTAATAAGATATTTATTCCATTTAAAAATTGACTTGAATTGTCTAGATATTATATAAAATTGATTCCTACCCTGGCAGACTAAGCATTGCAAAGCTGGTGCTAAGCGTTTTATGAGAATTCCTAGCAAATAGGAAATCTTAAGGATGACATTGACATTATAGAAAAAGGTTTAATTTTGAGAGGTGCCTAGCTGGCGCCGTGGGTGGAGCTCTCGATCTCGGGGTTGTGGATTTGAACCCTGTATAGAGATTACTTAAAAATTGAAAAAAATCTTTTAAAAAGGTTTATAATTAAAATATTAATAAAATAATAATAAAATATTAATAATTCCCTTATGAAATTAACCATAAGGTTTTTAATGGGATACCAAAATAATCCACATTTCTCTGATAGGATGTTAACATCTATGTTTTGTGATGTAGAGTTTCTTGTGTTAATTGAGATATAATTCACATAATGAAAAAGTTTCAGTGGTGCTAAGGATGTTCACAATCTTGTGGAACCGCCACCATTATTTGGTTCCAGATTTTGTTCATCACCCTCAAAGGAAACTGTACCCATTGAACAGTCACTTGCCATTTCTCCTTTCTCCCTGCCCCTGGCAGCCTCTACTCTGCTTACTTGTCTATGGATTTGCCTATTCTCAGTATTTCATATAAATGGAATCATACTATATATTGTCTTGTGTGTCTGGTTTCTTTCACTTTGCGTGTTTTCAGGGCTTGTCTATGTTGTGGCACATATCAGCACTTCATTACTTTTTAAATTTTTAAAAAATTTTTATTTATTTCTTCATTTATTTTAGAGAGAGAGAATGTGAGCGTGGGAGGAGCGGAGGGGGAGGGAGAGGGACAAGCAGACTCTTTGCTGAACTTGGAGCCTGACCCCATGCTTGTTCTCATGACCCTGAGATCCTGACCTGAGCTGAAACCAAGAGTCATATACTTAACTGACTGAGCCACCCAGGTGTCCCACTTCATTCCTTTTTAAGGCAGAATAATACTCCATTGTATGGATATACCACATTTTATTTATCTACCAGTTGATGGATGTTTGAGTTGTTTCCACTTTTTGGCTATTGTGCATGATGCTACTATGACCATTTGTGAAAACTGTTGTGTGGACATGTTTTCAGTTCTTCTGGGTGTATACCTAGGGAGGAATTACTGGGTCACATGGGATCCTCTATGTTTAACTTTTTGAGGAACTGCCAGACTTTTTCCAAAGCAGTGGCATCATGTTCTGTAGTTTTTAATGCTGTCTCAGATACTTGAAGAAATGAGAGAAAAGTTTATTAAAATGTTAACCTGGGACTATTAGTACTCATGACAGCCCTTCTGACAAGCCAGATGGAAGTCTCAATTTGCCTATTTGCTTTTCAGAATGAAAACATTAAAATATAAACCTGCACCATAGAAATAGTGTCAAAATTTTTATGCCCTCTTGTTCCTCTACCCACACACTTCTTCTAAAAGTTTGGAATATGATTGGAATTGATGATGTTTACTTTCACGTAAGTATAGGTTTCTAAAAGTGACATATTGAACTACATCAAAAACTAATGATGTATTGTATGGTGACTAACATAACATAATAAAATAAAATAAAATAAAAAGTGATATATTGAGGTTCCTGCTCTGCTTTTCCTTGGTGGGTTTCATGTTTTATTACTAGCAGAGATATTGAACATTGCTCTTTTATTTTTATTTTTTAATTTTTTTTTTAAAGATTTTCTTTATTTTTTTTAAGAGAGAGAGAGACAGAGAGCACAAGCAGGGGGAGGGGCAGAGGGAGAAGGAGAAGCAGACTCCCCACCGAGCAGAGAGCCGGACGTGGGGCTCCATCTCAGGACCCTGGGATCGGCATCATGACCTGAGCCAAAGGCAGACACTTAGCCTACTGAGCCACCCAGGTGCCATGAACATTATTCTTTTTTTTTTTTTTTAAAGATTTTATTTATTTATTTGAGAGAGAGAATGAGAGACAGAGAGCATGAGAGGGAGGAGGGTCAGAGGAAGAAGCAGACTCCCTGCCGAGCAGGGAGCCCGATGTGGGACTCGATCCGGGACTCCAGGATCATGACCTGAGCCGAAGGCAGTCGCTTAACCAACTGAGCCACCCAGGTGCCCAACATTATTCTTTTAACAGAAAACATTCTTGAAACAAAATTCAAAATAGATTTAATTACTTGTGATTAAATTTTCTTGGATATACAAATATTTTTCAAAAATATCACATAAAGATCTCACCTAAAAATCTTTATGTCAAGAATATTGTGTTAATGTAGTAGGTAGTCTAGAGATGCTTTTACCTCCTTGGCTGATGACATTACCTGTGTCTCTGCTTCTGTTGTCAGTAGTCATTATCAGCTCTTCAACCTCCTACATTTGTTCTAGCAAATATTTGTATTGCCTTAGTAAATTTACATAAAATGAAATCATTATGAAGAAATAAAGTAAGTTGGTTTTACTGGGGGTATAGAATTTTAGAGCAGAAAGGGTGCTCAAGAGAAATAACATTTATGGAATAATTTCTGATGCTAGATTGGAGCTTAAGTGCTTTTTATGCCATATCTCATTTAAGGTGACAGTCTATTTGAATTTTGTGTTTGGAAGAAGAAATGAGATTATCAGTCATTCCAAAAAGCTTGGAGTCAGCTCGCTCTCTCTCATAAATTAATCTTTATTCCTGTGTAGGTATATTATAGAGATTGATTTGTTTTCTTAGAGTAATGAAAAACTAAAGGAGTTCTTTTTAGGTAAATTTCTCTCAGGTTTTAAACTATGAAAATCAGTATCATTGTGGACACTGAATATGTTGTTTACTAAATTCTATAGTTTTATCCTATAATTTTCAGTTATTTTTGCAATTATTTTGGTGCCTAAAATAATTTGTTATTGTGTTGGGTACCTTTATATCTATTTTACTTCTGAAATATCTAAGAATAGGTAGCTGCATTTGAGCTAGAGAAATATTAGGGTTTTTTTTTTTTTTTTAAAGATTTTATTTATTTATTTGACAGAGAGAGACACAGCGAGAGAGGGAACACAAGCAGGGGGAGTGGGAGAGGGAGAAGCAGGCTTCCCGCAGAGCAGGGAGCCCGATGTGGGACTCGATCCCAGGACCCTGGGATCATGACCTGAGCTGAAGGCAGTCACTTAACCAACTGAGCCACCCAGGCGCCCGAGAAATACTAGGTTTTAATCAGATCTTTTTGTCTGAATACTGACTCTTTTAAAAGGTGTTTTTTTTTTTTTTTATAATTTTGGGAGACATGGTTTTAAGTTGCTGCTGATAAGCTTCTGTACTAACTAGAAGTAGAGCAGAAACTACAAATCAAAAATCTACCTCAAAAAATTAAAAATAGAACTACATATGATCCAGCAATTCCACTTTTGGGTATATATCTGAAGGAAGTGAAATCACTATCTTAAAGAATTATCTACATCCCCATATTCATTGCAGCATTATCTACAATGAAGACATAGAAACAACCTGAGTATCCATCAGTGGATGAATGGATAAAGAAAATGTGATACATGCACATACACTGGAATATTCAGTCATAAAAAAGAAAGAAATCATGCTCTTTACAAAAATAAAAAATGGATGGAACCTGAAGGCATTATGCTAAGTGAAAGACAAATACTGTATGATCTCACAAGTGGAATCTAAAAAAAAAAACAAAACAAACCCAAAGGCCCAGAAATAGAGAACTTATGGATTAAATTGGTTTTTGGTGATTGCCCAGGGCTTCAACTTTATTTCATAAGTTTATTTCTTTGGAAAACTGTTTCCCAAGCTTTATAACAAAGTATCACTGAACTTGGAGAAGATAGTCTGTGCATAAGTTGGAGACTTTGCCTATTTTGAAATGGAAAAATTCTTGTCTCAGCATTACTGAGTTAATGTACAGTTGGTACAAAGTTTTTAATTCTAATTGCTGACTTGCTTAGTGAGTGAATGATTGATCATAATCAACTGGAACGTGTAAGATAAAGCATGGTGACCTGAGTAGTTTTTCTGGTACAGTCAATGCTTTAGTGTGATAAATATTTTTATAAACAATTTTTCTGTTTCTCTTGGATAGTCAGTTTCTCTCCCTCCCTCTTTTTCAGGAGACCTACGTGAAAGGGTTGGAAGCCTTGGTGTTTGAGTAGACAAGGTAACCATTCAAGTAAACTCTTCAGTATTGTGACAATTGAATGGGTTGATTTGATATCAAAAAAAGAATTCCAGTTATTTAAAGAAGAGTGAATTATTAACTGTGTTAATAATATTTATGTCTACCATCACTGTAAGCACTTCATGTTCATTATCTGATTTAAGCCTACCAACAGTCCTGTGAGAGATACTATTACACCCGCTGTATAGACTAGGGAACTGAAGCCCAGAAACCTATGGATTTCTGCTGTCGACACCATGCATTTGACAAGAGTTGTGATAGCGTGAAAGTAATGTTACTTCTTTCTTGCTCTTTTTTCCCCCCCTCAAACTCATCTGTTCTCGTTATTTTTTCCTTTGTGGGACAATTTTGTGGGACTTCTTTGCTTCCAGAGATCAGATTTAGTTGTTGAGATGGGTTTTCTGCACTCTTTCCCCATCTTCCGTGTTCTTTTTTTTTTTTTTTAAGATTATTTATTTATTTATTTGACAGAGAGAGACACTGAGAGAGGGAACACAAGCAGGGGGAGTGGGAGAGGGAGAAGCAGGCCTCCCACTGAGCAGGGAGCCTGATGCGGGGCTTGATCCCAGGACCCCGGGACCATGACCTGAGCAGAAGGCAGACGGTTAACGACTGAGCCACCCAGGCGCCCCCCGTATTCTTTTATGTACACTATTTTCAAGGTTATACAGCTCAGCAGGTTAAGTAGTTTGTCAGTGATTGTTCAAACAGGGATTCTCAGTTCCCACCCTCATTCCCCCTTCTCAGAGGTGACTGTTCTGGACTCTCTTTGCTGTTTGGGATTTACCTGTGGTTTCTCAAGTAATATATTTGAATTGATGTCACCTGAGTTTTCAGTTTAGGGCATAACTTGTTTATATGATTTTCTGTGTCCCTATCACTAACTGAACTCAGGAGTCTCTATCAATTGCCCAAAGTTCCTGTTTTCTGTCACATCATTTATTCTGTTAATGTCATTATCTTGAAGAAATCCCTCCCAGGGCAAAGTGCTGTGGTACTGAGTAGCTTCTGCTTTCCCAGAGTGTCCAGCTCTCATTCTAGGGGCTCTCTCTTCCTCTGTGTTGGATCTTCTATTTCCTCTCTCCTGTGTTGTCTTCTTTCTTGGTTCACTCCCTCATTTTGCTCCTCTAGAGCCTCTCCTGTGCAGATATTGAATTATCTTGACTGGACCTCTAATTTCCTTGTTTTTTTCTTATTATCATGTTTTATTCTCTATTCTTTCTGATAAATATCCCTATGTTTAATTTCCAAGGTCTCTCTTTTTTAAAAAAGATTTTATTTATTTATTTGAGAGAGACAGAAAGTGCACAAGCAGGGGCAGAGGCAGAGAGAGGGAGAAGCAGATGGGGCTCGATCCCAGGACTCTGGGATTATGACCTGAGCTGAAGGCAGACACTTAACCGACTGAGCCACCCACGCACCCAAATTTCCAAGGTCTCTTTTAAAAAACATTGTATTTTCTTTGTCATGGATGTACTCTTACCTCTCCAATGATATTAATGATTGGGTTAAATTTTTTTTTAAATTTAAAAGTTCCTTCCGATGGGGTGCCTGGCTGGCTCAGTCACAGGAGTGTGCGACTCTTGATCTCCGGGTCATGAGTTCGAGCCCCACGTTGGGTGTAGAGATTACTTAAAAATAAATTAAAAAAAAAAATTTCTTCTGTTAACATTGTCTGTGATTCCTCTGAGTTCTTCTTTTTTCTGTCTTTTTCTCTGATGAGTAGTGATCCTGAGCTATGAAAGGTGTGGTCCTAAAAGTTGATTAGAAGCTTTGAGTTCATCACTGGTACTTGTGGACTGTGAGTTCACTGTCGGGTGACCTGGCTTTGCCATCTACTGGGGAGCACTTGATAACTCTTTCTGATTTCTTTCCCCTTTCTGAAAAGAAAAGTCTTTTAATCTCCTGCCTGGTGGGTGAAAATTTATAGCCGGTTCTCTGGGAGCTGAGTAAGGGAGAAAGGCTGAGGATTTCAGCATTCAGTATATATATGTGTTTACTTAATCCCCTGATTTCATTAAGATCTCCCCACAGTGCTCTGTTCCCTTTGTTCAGAAATCCTCTTCCGAGAATAATGCTCTAGCATTTTGCCTTGGTGGAAGAGGCAGAGTTAACCCAAGCACATGAAATTTAGGAAGGCATGGAGAAATTAAGCCGTTTCTTAAAGAGCTTTCAACCAACCTGCCTTATTTGGTGTTCCCTTCACCTCTGTTTCCAGAGGAACCATCTGTTACCGATTCCTGGGCCTTTTGAGAATTCTGTGGACTAAGTCAGGTTGATTTTTGGCTTTCCACCTTCCTAGTTTAAGATTCAGCTTTCCTGGATCTGCTACTAGTTACCACTGTTCTATCTGCTTGCCAGCCTGCAAACTTTTGTTTATGCCTTAAAAATACCTCATTAGCATTTTAGCTCAGTTTTGGGAAGGAATGAAATTAAATATGTATGTTCAATCTTTCCATCTTCCCAGAAACTGCTAGATTTTTTTCATTTGCTTAAGCATTTATGTATCTATTCATTTTTTTATTGTGGCAAAATACACAAAGTTTTTAACCATTTTAAAGTGTGCAGTTCAATAGCATAAAGGTACATACATGATGTTGTGTACCCATCACCACTGTCTGGTTCCAGAACTTTTTCATCACTCCCAAAAGGAACCCCATACCCATCAAGCAGTCATTCCCTACTCCTCCATCCCTTTCCCCAGCCCTTGGCAACCACTAATTTGCTTTCTGTCTCTGTGGATTTGCCATATCTGGTGAGACTTTTTTTAGACAGGGTAATCAGGCAAGGCTTCTTTGGAGAGAGTATATTTGAGCAGAAACCTTAATGCCCCGGGGTGTGTGTGTGGGGTGAACCATCAGAAGTGTTGGGGAATGAATCCTGCTGTTTCTTTAGATGTACAAAGTTACAAAGTTTTATTATTGTCACCCTGAAAACCAACAGAAGCCAAATAAGAATCATAGTTTTAAAAACCCATCAGCGAGTGAAGATACAAGGAAACCTAAATGAAACAACCTCCAGAAAGTAATGAAAGCTTCGCAGTAGAGAAGAGACCCATGGCTGCTCTGGGGTAGAACAGCCCAAGGAAGAGGAACCTGCCACGGATAGGGGGAAAGGAGAAACCTGCCACACTTCGGGCTGGCCTGCTGTGGCCCCATCCAGTAGGGGTGGTATGACAGGCTAGAACTCCGAGACGCCCCAGTTGCTCCTGCACCAAAGAGCCAGTCCACTCCAGCTCTCGCCCATGGGTCTTCAGTGAGCGCTCAGGGGTGATACGCCTCAGGCTTTCAGTTATGGAAGGCTGAAGGTGGGGAAAGAGCTGGAGTTGACCTCCGCCCCACCCCCACACTCTGCAACTCTGGGCTTTCAATTCCTGAGGACTGAACACAGGGCAGGAGAGGTGAGAGAAACTCCTCTAATTCATTCCAGGTCTTCCCACAACATAGGAGGCTGCCCTCCGACAGGAAGGCTGAGGAGGAACAGGCTTGAGAGAGGTCACTTGGGCTTCAGAAAGCAAGGTGTGGGACCCGAAAGCAAAGAGAATCCCTAGCAAATGAAAAACCTGGCAGTCATGCTTAAAGCAGAGAGAGAGCTCCCATTTTCTTTTCTTTTTTCAAAATATACTTTATTTTTTGGAATAATTTTAGTTTTTTAAAGATTTATTGATTTATTTGGGAGAGAGAGTGCAAGTGAGCACAAGGGGGTAGGGGAGGGGCAGAGGGAGAGGGGGAGAGAGAATCTCAAGTAGACTCCTTTCTGATCACGGAGCCCATGGGATAGTTTTAGTTTTATAGAAGAATTGCAAAGGTAATACAGAAAGTTCCCTATGCCCCACACTGAGTTTCCCCTATTATGAATACCTGTAGTAGTGTGGTATATTAATTATAAGTAATGAGCTAATATTGATATGTTATTTTTAACTAATGTCCACACTTTATTCACATATTCTTTGATTTTACCTAATGTGCTTTTTCTGTTCCAAGATCCCATTCAGGGTTCCACATTTCATTTAGTTGTCATGTCTCTTTTCGCTCCTCTGGGCTATGACTTCCCTTGTTTTTGATGACATTGACAGTTTTGAGGAGTATTGTTGAGGTGTTTTGTAGAATGTCCCTCTATTAGTATTTATCTCATATTTTTCTCATGACTGGGGTGGGGTTTTAGGTTTGGGGAGGAAGACCACAGAGGCTAATTGCCATTTTCATCACAACATGTTAAGGGTACATGATTTATCAGTGTTGAATTTGAACTTGATCACCTGGTTGAGGTAGTGTTTTTCAAGTTTCTCCACTGTAAAGTTACTCTCTTTTTCTCTCTTTCCATACTGCAGTCTGTGGCAGGAAGTCACTTATTCAAAGCCCACACTTAAGAAGTGGATAGTTATGCTCTCTGTCCTTAAGGGTGGAGCATCTTTGTAAATTATTTGGAATTCTCCTGTGTAGGAAATTTGTCTCTTTTCCCTCATTTATTTAGTTAGTCAATCATTTTCCTTAACAGTATGGACTCATGGATATTTATTTTATTCTTGAGGTTATAATCCAATTACTACTTTATTTTGTTGGTGAAATTGTTCCACCTTTGACCATTGGGAGCTCTTTCAATTGACTCTTATGTCTCTTTGATATAACCCCATCAATGTGTGTATATGTGAGAGAGAGAGAGAGCACTTTCTTACTTTTGGCACTATGTGATGCTCCAGGTTTATTTGTATATTTCCTGCCACGGTCCTTCAGTCAGCCATTTCTCCAAGGAGCCCTGGTACCTTTTATTAGAGAATGGGGAAACCAAGATTGAGGTGTTAGATGTGCTTGTTGCTCCTGGGGTGTTGTGCTTGTAGGCCCTCTCAGCTGACAGAGCCAGGAAATATATGTGCATTTACTAATCTGTATATATACGCATATCTATAAATATTTCTATGTATACCCATCTATATCTATATTAAGCTAAATATGAGTTCATAATGACATGTCCAACTCAAA